TTTCTTAACACAGATCCAGTGATTTCGGGGTTTGAGCCAGCAAAGGCTGATGAGGAATAGGGGTGTGGCCAAGCCCCAGTGCAGTCCCCCGCTGTTTGCCATGTTCAAAAGGATCAGCGACCTTTTATACCATTTGTACAATACATTGGTCCCCAAAGAACAAGCAAGCTGTACGAGCATTGGTTGACACTGGGGCAGAGATCACTCTTATCCACAGCAATCCTGACAAACATAAGGGGGACCCAGCACCCGTATGGGGCCTTGGAGAACAGGCAGTTCATGATCACAGTAACACTACAAATAGCAGACAATCCACCAAAAACCTTACAGAGTAATGGTAGCAAAAATATTTGAATATATAATTGGGATTGATGTTATTAGAGGAATGGACTTATGGATTGACGACACCCTGTGGTCATTTGGGGCCATGCAGTGGCACATTCGAGCCATACAAGTAGGGAAGGTACAGCAAGAGGCCAACATTCCTATCTGTACACAAACTGTAAACCTTAAACAGTATAAGATTCCAGGTGGGAATGAGGAAATTCAGACAACAGTCCAAGAACTACTTGAGGCACAAGTGGTGAGGTACACTCATTCCCCATTTACCTCCCCCATATGGCCTGTGAAAAAATCAGATGGGTCATGGCGAATGACTGTAGATTATCGGGAGTTAATAAAGCTACTCCACCAATTACAACTGCTATACCTACTATTCCAGATTTAGTTCATGAGATCCAAAAACACCCGGGTGACCAGTATAGTATAGTAGGGGGGGCCACAGTGTTAGAGCTCAGCAGCAAAACTTCACACAGTTATGGGCCACAAGAAGTTAAATGGGAGCGACCTGATTGTCAGCCAAAAGCCCCATCAGTGCCCCTTGTGAAGTTACTTGCTTTAACTCCACGAGCAGTAACCAAAAGGCTTAACCTTGTTAAATCCAGTCCAAGATGGCCATAAACCTGTGTTGTTGGGTATCAAAAACACTGCTGACCATACTGTTGTTTTACACCCTGGCCCACTCTGTTTCTGTTCTTTAGTATGTGTTGCATCTATACCTCCAGCACCCCCTGCAGAAGTATGGGACACAGAGTGTGGTACACCCCTCCAGGACAAAGTCCTATAGCTGCTGAAATCATTGCCACTGACCCATCCCATGCTGTCACTATTGCAGTACCCAAACCCCTGAGTGGCTCCGAGTGCCAGTAGAGCAGCTGTGACGATGGGACTAAAAAGGAGGGGGTGGGGGGGGAGGTCCCTTAACAGTTTTTTTCTGTTTTATTTCACTGTAGATTTCAGCTATGCTTTGCTTCTTAGCTGACTTCTGTCTTGGATGTCAACGTGTGGACTACCCTGGCCAATGTGACGAAGACTGATGTCCTGTGTCTGATTTTGAGGGCATGTGCTGCATGAATTGAAGTGACCATTCTGAGTCTGTTCATGCACACCTTGAAACACAATGGTAGAGGTCATGCCTAGGGGTGAGGAAGGTGATGGAGAGAGGAAGATGATGTGGGCAGGGGTGGTTGCCCCTTGCCCTCCAGTGGGGCACACCCAGACTGTTGCCATGAGGTGATGAACGGGCGCTGTTTGGCTGCCACTCAAGCCCCACCTTATACTACGTGCTGGCCCTACGTAGTGTAATGTGGAGCTGATCAAATGGGGTGCCAGCACTGCTGGGGGGAGCGATGCTCATCCTTCCATGGAGACTGTGTTGCTCGCGGGGACGCCCGCTAAGCATGAGTGCCGCCCAGCCCCTGCAGAGCCTGGGAGCCCTGGCCTGTCTGTGCAGGGGAGCACAGTTT